CACAAAAAAAAACTTGAAGTTCCTATTTTGGACGTTTGAATTGTAAAACTAGGGATGTACATGGACCGGGTTGGTTCGGTTTTAACCAATTATATCGGTTTGGATTGGTTCGGTTTTGTCGAGTTTTCGGATTTTTTTGTTACATTAATATTATTTCAATCTTACTTTGTTAAAATTATAGATAAAGCTTTGATAAGTGAATATATGTTTAGTAAATATGGAAAAATTGACAAACATATGATCTACTAAAATATTCTAATGGGAGAATTTTTTTAGTAACACATGATAGTTATTTCTTAGTCGTCTAACAATAATTTTTCGTTAATTTACGCTTTCAAGGTTAATACATGAAATATTTCTACATTTTCTAAAGAAAAATTACTACAAAGTCTTAAAAATATAAATAAAATTTATATACTTATATGTCGGTTTGGTTCGGTTTTTATTCAATACCAAACCAAGTCAACCCAAACCTAGTCGGATTTTTTAATCGGTTTGGTTTGGTTTTTCGATTTGGTGCGGTTTTTCGATTCGGTTTGAATACCCGTAAAACCAAATTGACTTGCATGGCTATTAAAAATATGATATGAATAATTTTTAAATTGAATTGGTATAAAAAAGTGATCAAGAAAAATAATTTGAAATGTAAAGAGGCAAAAGTTTGAAATAATATATAAGACACTAATTGGTATGTACGCAGTTGAATTATTTGGGGAGCATAACTTTTTTCATGTGAGAAAACTAGGTCAAGTTTTTTCTCAGTTAAACCAAAAAGAATATGTTTATTTGGACGAATGGTTTACTTTCTATATTTTGTGTGTTGGAAAATAGAAGAATTATAGCTAATTTGAGTTTAAATGACGTCACACACGAAGTTCTGTTTGTATTAAGTTGTGCAAACCCTACTTAGACCGTGAATATGTTTCGTAGTGTAGAATCATTTGTAAAGGCTAAAATTTGTCTTGAAAATGTTTAACTTGCAAAAAAATTGTTTGCTCATTTTGGGTACGTGATTGGGTATGAGATAACAACAACAACAACAACATATTCAGTATAATCTCAGAAGTGGATTTTGAGAATAGTAGTGTACACAAACCTTATCCCTATCTTGTGAAGGTAGAGGCAAACCTAGGATTTGAAGGTAGCGGGTAGGGGTGTTCAAACCGAACTGGAAAACCGCACCAAACCGAAAAACCAAACCAAACCGATTAAAAAACCCAACTAGGTCTGGTTTGACTTGGTTTGGTATTGAGTAAAAAAATCCGAACCAAACCGACATATAAATATATAAATTTTATTTATATTTTTAAGACTTTGTAGTGATTTTTCTTTAGAAAATGTAGAAATATTTGGGATCCTCTCATGTATTAACCTTGAAAGCGTAAATTAACAAAAAATTATTGTTAGACGACTAAGAAAATAACTATCATGTGTTACTAAAAAATTTCTCCCATTAGAATATTTTAATAGATCATATGTTTGTCAATTTTTTCCATATTTACTAAACATATATTCACTTATCAAAGCTTTATCTATAATTTTAATAACGTAAGATTGAAATAATATTCATGTAACAAAAAAACCCGAAAACCCGAAAAACCCGACAAAACCGAACCAATCCAAACCGATATAATTGGTTTGGTTTGGTTTTGATAGAAACCGAACCAACCCGGTCCATGTACACCCCTAGTAGCGGGTGCACTTTTTGATTCAATCAAAATCTGCTTTGTATATAGGTGACCACTATTAATATATCACTATTTCTAAAGACATATACATGTATATATGAAATTTTTGCCGAACTTTACGGGTGCCGATGATCCCTCTACCTATTGCATAGTTTCGTCTCTGTTTGAAGGTAAAGAGGTTATTTTCGATAGACCCTCGACTTAAAGAAAAGGATATGAGATGACATGAAATAAAAAGTTGAATATAAAGAGTTAAAGATGGCTAGAAAAGGTAAGAGTTGAGGTATATTTTCAAAAGAAATTGACTCTACTCATAAGTTCCATAAGTGACGAAAGTAAATCTCTTATTTGGCAGAAAACATTATCTTGAAACGAATAAATGTAAATGAATGAGCATAATTCCTAGTAATTTCAGCGGGTGAACAGTAAAATATTTATTTAAAGGACTTCAGAGTATTAATGTTTTAGAGGATATGGTTTGGTAGCGGCCAGCAGGGAGTGAATGGGTGAGAGGAGTTGATCCACGAATTCAATTATGAAGGGAGGATAGTGACTAGAAATAGGGTAAGCTAATAGGTTATGGGTAGAGTAAAATTTTAAGCAATGTTTACCTAAAATCATATTAACTTATATGATACAATGATAATCATATACATATGACAGAGGCGGATGTAGTAAATTTACGAATTCAACCAACGGCAGCATTATTCCACACTGAGTATACATAAAAAAAAAATGGAAGAATTACATCCCTTGTTACTTGTCCCAACAACCCATTAGAAAATGGCCCATGCTTAAAGCTCTTACCCGATATAGTCCAAGTTGTACATAATGTGAAAATTAATTTTCACCAGTTAGCCCATCCCTTTTTTCTTCGTTCCCCTTTTTTCTTCGTTCTTCTTCTCCTTCCCATGTCAGCCTTTGCACTGCAAAATTTCTCTACTATTGTTATTCTCCTTCAATTCTTTTCCGGAATTTAAGTGTTAACTAAGGATTTGAAAAATAAAAGTCACTATTACAAGTGGTTCGAAGATTCGAATTCAGAAATTAAGTTTTCCGATTTGTTAGTTGTTTGGAATGGGTGTTGTCTCAATTGATTGGAATCATTAAGATGAGTTCAAAACTCAAATTTCAAGTGATTTGGAGTAGATTTAGGTTATATTTGAGTTAAATTTCAGAAATTGAGTTTTTCGATTTGTTAGTTGTTTGGAATGGGTGTTGTCTCAATCGATTGGAATCATCAAGATAAGTTCATAACTTAAATTTCAAGTGATTTGGAGTAGATTTAGGCTATATTTAAGCTAAATTTCAAATGATGCCCAAGGAAGAAGAAGAAGAACACGTGAAGCTCCATTGATAGGATTCCTTTGTATAATAATGTATAATATTGTATAAATAGTATATAATAGTGTATAAACACAACTTATACACTATTATATCCAAGGTTGATACATTATTTACAGGTATTTGGTGAATTTCTCGCATTTTCTTCTTCTTCTTCTTCTTCTTCTTCTTCTTCTTCTTCTTCTTCTTATTCTTCTTCTTCTTCTCATTCTTCTTATACACCTATATACATAGTGTATCAAGAATATTTTCACTCTGTGATTATACATCTTTATACACTTTTATACAACTATATACATACTGTACCTCTTTGTATAAAAGTGTATAGCATTGTATAAAAGTGTATAAGCATCGTTGATGAAATTTTTGTACGATTTTCACTTGCAATTCTTGTATAAAACTAGTCCAAATCTCCAGCAAATAACTTCAAACTTTGTATACAACCTACTTAGACTATTTCTAATAAGTTCAAACAATACCAACTCCAAATTTCTCACAAAATCATAATCGAAATTTAACAATATTAGCATTAAAGGAGATGAGATTTAGGTTTCTTGCGTCTGTTTTTGCGTTTTGCAGTTGTGATAGGTATGTATAAACCTGAAGATATACAAAATTTAAAAAAAAAAAGTAGAGAAGTATTGGCTATGGAAGAAGGCACGAATGAGTGTTGACTGAATGGGGAACTGATTTTTCTTTTCAGTTTTGTTTGCATATGATTCTTTTTCATTAATTAAATTAAATATTTATGGGTGAAAAATGAGGAGAGAGCTACAATAGGAGTAGGTAAGAATAAATGAAGTTGTTATAACTAGAGGGAATGGGAAAAGAGAAGATCTTATTGATATTTGGCTACATATTTGCAAACTTGTAACTGGGCTAAAATAGTGCAAGGTCAACTTATGGAGTGCATTATTCTGTAATTTTGTCATAAAAAAAGAGGCAGCTAGGTGAATAAAACATCCTGCATTCGTGCAGGTACAAGGACAGGCCGCATCCCAAGGAGTGTAATGTAGACAGAAAAGGGCCGCATCTTAAGGGTGTGATATAAACAGTCTACTCTTGATTAGTGACTGTTTTTCGGCTCAAACTTGTGATGACGTGACCTATATGTCACACATAGATAACTTTATTATTACTCCGCTTCACACATAGTATATATATTTGTGTAAAAATTAATTAAAGTTTGAATTATAGTTCGAGAAGTGCAAAGGTTCAACGGTTAAATTTCAAAAGTTAAAACCATCAAACTTACAAAAAAAAAAAAATTGGCTTTTATATATGAAGCTAACAAACTTAAATTATGAATCCGCTTCTATTGACCTGTCAATATGTCACGAATAAATGTGGTTGGTTTTATCCAAAAACAAGGGCAGCCAATGGGAGATTGAGTACAATATTGATAGAGAAATGCGGCACAATTGAAGATGGCTCTTCATTTGAATGTCAAAATAAAATAGTTTAAAAAGTTACTTCTTGGGTAAGAAAGATAGAACCAGAAGAAAAAAAATTACAAGAGTATATTCCCTCCGTCTCGTATTATCTGTCATGACTCTTGTATACGCCCTTTAAGAAAAATTAATTAGGATGAG